CTGCCAATGGAGGAGATGTGGGTTCAATCCCTGGATCAGGAAGATCTCCTGGAGAAGGAAATTGTAACCCAATCCAGTATTCTTGCCTGGGAAGTACCATGGACAGAGGAGTCTAGTAAGCTACAGTCCATGGGGTTGTAAAAGAGTTGAACATGACTGAATGACTAAAAAATAATAACAGTACCCAATAAGGTACTTTTTAATGAGGTTCCATCATTTTTCTTGGATGTTTCTTCAAATAGACAATCTCCTCATTGAATATCATGAGGAAGTACTTAAGTCTCTTAAGAGACCATTTCCTTTTCTAACCTCTGTTTTCAGTTTTTCCTCTGAGGGCCTTCAAGGGATTGGATGAGAATGATGGGAGCAAGTCAAAAAGATACAGAAGCTAACTTAAAGGTACCCCTACCATCAACCAAATCTGGGACAAAATGGACAGTAAAATAACTAATAATAGTTACTGATTGTAATCTACTGATAAATGGGAAGCTATAAGGTCACATCCATATAAACTAATGAATAAAATGAAAGTTTGATTCTTACCTAATATAAAATCCTGATTAATACCTCCTTAGTACAGAGAGTTGGACATGACTGAGTGACTGAACTGAACTGAACTGAATACATAGTCAAAGTGCCCATCACCAAATATTGGTAATATTCATGTGGCATCTGATAGAACACAAAGAAAAGACACCATTGCTTCTGGCTCACTCAATCATAACAACATCAGAAAAATTCAAACTGAAAGGCATTCTATGAAATATTTAGCGATTAACCCCTGGGAATGTCAAGGTCCTGAAAGTCCAAAGAACAATTAAGAAATTATTTTAGATAGAGACTAAAACAAACAGTAAAATGCAACACATTATTCTGAAATGGATCTTTTTCTGTAATCACAATTAGTAAAAAATGAATATGTTCTGAATATTAGGTGGCAAAGATGTATTAATTTACTGATTTTGATGCTGGTATTGTGGTTCTATAAGAGAATATCATTGTCATAAATACTCAAGTCAAATATTGGCATCTATATGGCATCATGTTGCTAGTTTATTCTCTACCAGTGCAGGAAAGAAGTTCTTTATACTATCCTTTAAAATTACTGTATATTTGAGCATGTTGGAAAATTAAAATAAAATGAAATTAAATTATAATAATGAGAAATGACATAAATTGAAGTTGAGGGGTGTATAGAAAAAATGGGGTGCTATGGAGGATGATACTGCAAAAATGAGTATAAATTTAAATGGATAACTTTAAGCCATTTTAAATTTTCTGAATTTGATCTTTGTTCTTCAGGTATCTATCAGAGAGTCCTTATTATTAGGAAAAGCATATACAAAAATTCAAGAAGACAGTGAATGATCTTTGCAACTTGTCGAATTTTTCAGAAAAAAAATAGTGAAGTAAATGTGCAAAATATAGGTGAAATATAGAAAAAAATTTGTGAACTTAGGTAAAGGAATTATAAAAGCTGTTTGAAATATTTTTTCAAATTTTATGTTGTTCTTCAAATTAAAGTAATAAATATAAAAAATAAAAATAGAATGCAATTTCCTATTTTCAACAGCAATCTAAGAACAGATTTAATAATTATTTTCAGGGCCCCTATGAAGATAGCTAGAAAGACTTTACTAGGAGAGATAATAGTCTGAAAAAATTAGAGAAAATATTAAAGCACATAGTAATCATGAATAAGTATGAAAATAAAAACAAGATGGCTTTTTTCTCCACCAATTTGGAAATTAAATCACACAGTAATATTTATAATTATTGTAAATGTATGAAGCAATGGATTCTCTTACACTACTTAAGGGATTTTATAAATAGGTTTAACCATTCATTTGAATAATTCTGTAATGAGATTAAATTTATAATGTAAAAACCTTCAGTTTTTCAAACCTTTTGAAGTGGTTTAGAGTTACTCACCTGTTTGTTGGTCATTTTAGTGCCCTGTTCTTCCCTGACTTGACTAAAGGAGGTTGAACTAAAGAGAATCATTGATGGGAGTTTGCAAGCAGACAAAGAGAGTAGCAAGGGTATTTCTACCCTTAAATCTGGCTGAAAATACCTGTGGCTTCAGATGATCACTGTGCTGTTCAGGTGGTGATTCCAACTGGTAGCCAGCAGCCAGCCTCAATTCTTAGGTGGCAGGAACATTATCTCTGCTGAGTTGCTTCACTGTCATAATTGTCTTTCAAACAGATTATAAAAGTATATTTGTAACTATTAAAACACCTACATGAATTTTGTTTTACTGATAAGACCTTGATTGATATAAATATGAATTCTACCTATAGGACTACATTCTAGAAACAAAACATACTAAACATCTGGATCTAAGGATGCTCATCACAGCCCTTTGAAAGAGCAAAACTTAGGAACCATTTAAATATCCAAAAATAGTGGACTGGTTAAGTATAATATTTATTCGTGTTAGGCAATACAATGCAGCTACCAAAAATTCTGTCTTAAACTTATGTTTTGGAAAGTTGTTCAATCCATGAATTTTGGTGAGAAAAACAAAATTATCCCAATTTTGTAATGGCCTTAAATTTGACAGTCAAATAATGCTCCTATCACTCATCTTTCAATTTCTGAATAAAAAGTTACAATTAGTGGCTTTTTTTATTTTTCTTATTTTTTCCCAAAAATATATTCAATTCCATGTTATTTAACCATAACTAGTATTTAAAGGAAACACTTCAAGGTGATGCTAGTGAGAGCAAGCAAGATGTTTTTTTTTCCTACTTCCTCTGAAGATGGCTATCTTTGCCTTCTCTTAAGGAGGTGGATGATATTCATTAAGGTGGAGTCATATCAAAGATATGTCAACATCAAATATGTTGCCTTTCATTCCTGTTACAAGAAACTGATTACAATCTATCTTTGTTATTCATTAATTCATATTTACCAGTTTGCCTACTAACTAAAATATATTTGGAATCCTCAAATCAGTGACCATTGTCCTTTCTCCATCATTTGGAAGCATGAACAATATCAGTGAAAAATTTGAGTCCCTATTTAAGTTGAACAGGCTCTGCCTCCTTCTGTCAGCTCTCATAGTAAATCAGTGTCCTATTCGTAGTCTATTTCAAGTCACATTGGGCTTCCCTGGTGGCTTAGCTGGTACAGAATCTGCCTGCAATGTGGGAGACCTGGGTTCTATCCCTGGGTTGGGAAGATTCCCTGGAGTAGGAAATGGCTACCCACTCTGGTATTCTGGCCTGGAGATTTCCATGGACTACATAATCCATGGGGTCGCAAAGCGTCAGACACGGCTGCGTGACTTTCACTTCACTTGGGCCCCATTTACATTTTTAAAACTTTCACACTCTTTTTTAGGTCATTTTGTTGTTTAAAATGCACCCCGAAGTGTAGAGGTGGAGTGCAATCTAGTACTCCAGAGCTCAAGAAGGCTATGATATTCCTTACAAAGAAAATATGTGTATTTAATGAGATTTGTTCAGCCATCAGTTAAAGCAGTTGGCTGTGAGCTCAGTGTTAATGAGTCAACAATATATGGCTGAAACCCTTGACCAAAGCAGAGGACTGGGAACACCCACTCTCAGTGAAGCAAAAAATACACATTATAACTTTTAGTTGACACTCCATACTTTGGTTCTGTATCCAAAAATTCAGGTAACCACAGATCATATAGTACCTACAGCAGAAAATAGTAGTATTTACAATAGTAGTATTTACTATTTCAAAAGTAAATTACTGTAGTGCTATTAGGAAAAACAAAAACAAAAACAAAAAACTATGGATATATGTGGATCCACATAGTTCAAATTGTATTGTTCAAGTGTCAACTGTGTATTCAAAAAGGTGTACAGAAGCATACACAAAATGAGGTTATATTTGAGTGGCTGATGAAAATATTGTGACCAGATATACTAACTGAGCCTCAATTTCCCCTAGGAGTAGATAGCTTGATATTTGCTAATTCAGTGTTTGTGGGTAATTTATAGAACTTAGCTGCTACAAATAGCCATTACTTGCTTGTAGCTAATTTTCTAAATAGTTTCTCTGTAAATTTCTAAATATTCATAGCTTACTCACAACTCTTTTAGAGAAGTGTCAGTTTTTTTCAAGAGTTTCTAAAACATGTTCCTCAGAGACTAATGTTTTATGGTGGCTCCTGTGAAACAAAGGAGAGAGGTCACAGCAGTCCAATCTCTCCATCCTCTACCCCATTTATCAGGTGTGTGTGTATGTGTGTGTGTGTGTGTGTGCGCGCGTGTGTGTATGTGTGTGTGTGTGCATGTGTATGTGTGTGTGTGCGCGCGTGTGTGCGCGTGCGCGTGTGTGTGTGTGTATGTGTGTGTGCGTGTGTGTGTGTGCGTGCATGTGTGTGTGTGTGTGTGTGTGTGTGTTAATCACTCAGTCGTGTCCGACTCTTTGTGGTCCCACGGGCTGTAGTCTACCAGGCTCCTCTGTCCGTGGAATTCTCCAGGCAAGAATACTGGAGTGGTAGCTATTCTTTTCTCCAGGGGATCTTCCTGACCCAGGGATAGAACCCAGGTCTCCCGCATTGCGGACAGATTCTTTACTGACTGAGCTACCAGGGAAGCTCTATCAAGGCTTTATCACATATATTTTGAGGTTCATTCAGGATCTTATTTGTATGATTTCTGCTGAAAACATAGAAAAAAAAAGCCTAAAGGCATTTTGCAGTCAATGATGATAGCATTAATAATGTTGACACTCAAGTTATTAAATTATTGTTATTTTTTAAAACATAGAGAGCTCAAAAATGGAGGAATGTTTAGGTGTAATAATGAAATTCTAGATGATAATTATAAGTATATATTAGAAAAGATATGTTTTTCACGGCATTGGATTTTTAAAATAAAATGACCAATTTCTTTAGAATTAACATATATTAATTCAATATTTTAAGAATTTAATTAGATCTTATGCAAGAACACTGGCACAGTAATGAAGAGAAGATTAATTATAATGACTTTTATCCAGAAAGGAGGGACCTGGCAACTGTTGGACTGGAGAGGAGTGATCAAGACAAAGGGAAGCAAAGGTCGCTCAGAGATGGCCTCCAGCCAGAGCAGTTCCTCTTGGGTGTTGGAGGGAGAGATGTAGGGTGAAGAGGATCAGACTGGCAATAAGAGGCCTGGAACAAAAAGATGAAACATAGCTGCTCTGGGTGGGATTTTTTTTTTAATATGTACAATTAATTGTCCAAATGCTAAACTCACAAGGATGTGAGTTTTATATATCTATATCTGTATATAGATCTATATCTATATAGATGTGTGCTGTGCTGCCCTCAATTGCTTCAGTCTTCTCTAGCTCTTAGCAATCCTGTGGACTGCAGCCCTCCAGGATCTTCTGTCCGTGGGATTCTCCAGGCAAGAATGCTGGAGTGGGTTGCCACCCAGAGGATCTTCCCCACCCAGGGATCCAGGGATCGAAAAGGGGTCTCCTGCATTGCAGGCAGATTCTTTACCAGCTGATCTACCAGGGAAGCCCCCCCCACACACACACACATGATTAAATTATAGTTTCAAGATAATAGAAATAAATGATTTAGACTCTAACCTCAAAACTCTCTATCTAGTAGCAAGACAGACAATATACTGACTATAACAGCACAAACATTGAAAATTTTTCCTTAGAATATATATCAGAAAGGATTGCCTTGTCTAATTGTCAAACATGGGAGATTTGAGAGTATTGAACAAACCATACCACAGATATGGAAGCCATTTATAACTATTTGGAAATTAATTAAACTTTATACACATGGTTATTGTGTCCCTCAGAACACACAAAACTAAAACTTTATGTATACATACATAAAATTACACATATATAATGTGTGTATGTGTGCATGATTAGCTGTGTCTGTTTGTGAGCCCATGGACTATAACCCTCCATGCTTCTCTTGTCCATGGAATTTTCCAGGCAGGAATACTGGAATAGGTTGCCATTGCCTACTCTAGGGGATTTTCCCTAGCCAGGGTTCAAACCTGAGCCTCTTGCATCTTCTGCATTGGCAGGTAGATTCTTTACCACTGGCACTGCCTGGGCAGCCCATATGTTATGTATATCTATATTTGGAATTTTAATATGCAGATTATTATATTTATAATATATATGTATACACAGAAATATACACAATCCACCGTGCTCTCATGCTTTGTCAAAATTTTGATCTGCAGATCACATTGACAAAGAATTCGAGTTACTTGACTAATGGTCATACATGATGCTAAGTCACTTCAGTCAGGTCCAGCTCTTTGGACCCTATGGACTATAATCCTCCAGGCTCCTCTGTCCATAGGATTTCCCCGGCAAGAATAGTAGAGTGGGTTACCATTCCCTTCTCCAGTGGAACTTCCTGACCCAGAGATGGAATCCGTTTGTCTTGAGTCTTCTACATTGGCAAGCAGATTATTTACCACTAGCGCCACCTGGGAAACACCCAATGTGTCATAGTTGTTGCAAATTACAAATGACACATCTTTCTCCTTTGGCAATAGTCTTTCTCCAAAGGAAAGCTGCCTGATCAGGCACATAATTCCCTGAGTATTAAAGTAAAAGTCTAGGAAGCACTGAGATGGAGGATATAATAGCTGGATTAAACTAAGTAGTGAGGTTGAGGAAGATCCACAGGGTACAGAGGCTATTGAGTTAAATGTAATATCAAGAATGAGAACATGTTGGAAAGGATTTAAATTCTAATTACTGGTCACATTCTTTATCTCAGATTAAAGTCTATAAAGAGCTCCCCAGCATTCTGCTAGTTCTTCCTGACAAATAGAGGCCCAGACTCCAAAGCTTTATTATAGTCATTCAGAACTCTCAAAGCAGCCATTTGAGAATTGCCACAAATAAATGCTCCTGGAATTCCTGTGATAAAGAAGGAGTTATTCTGCTGAGCTGATGATGGCTTTATAGAGGAACAGGTTTGAATTCAAATTATGAAATGGTAGATGCCTAAAACAGGTTTAGGGAGAAAAACACGAGGGGTGACTTGGGTCTGATGTTGAGATTTAAAATACCCTATTTGCTTATGCTTGAGTCTAGTTTCCAAATTATTATTTTCAGATTTAACAGCCACATAGATAAGATAAAGGAACACTAGTAAGGGAAGGCTGACCTTTAACCCTAAAATATCTTCTTTGAAAAACTGCTTTCGAGAGACATTGGCATTTCAAGTTTAGATCTTATTTGGCAGTGCTGCTTTCTTCTGTACATTGTTCCAGGAAAGTGTGAAGTTTAAGGAAATATAATTTTTATACCCTTTTTATCCCCTTGCCTTCTGATGCACTGATATTTTGGCACTCCCAGTAAGATCTCAGAGCTTTTCTGCAGTGCATTATATTTTTAGAAAACTCCAGTAGCTTTATCTGCTTCTGTCATCTTTCACACAGGTGACAGACACACAGTCGCGTGCATGCGCGTGCGCACACACACACACACACACACACGGAGAAGCTAGAGAAAAGCCCTCTTTTTTGGATGTACTTTTAGGGAGTTACCGAGTTTTCTTTTTCATCCTAGGTAAAATGAGATTCAAAATCCTGTCCAAAGTTTCAGTAAGGTACATCCTCTGACAAATAAGCTTCATTGCTGATGTATTTAGAACATATCCTCGCAACTTTGGTCTTTTATTTAAATAACAATCCCTCAAAGTAATTTACTAGTAATAACAATAATTAACACATATAATTTCAGCTCTCAAGATCTTATTTAATTATTTGTTATTTCATACTGCCTCTTATTGATACAATTTTATGGACGTAGCAACTGAATCTGTTCAGAGTAAAGGAATAACTATGTGTGTGCGATTTAAGCCCACTCACTTTAATTCCAAAGTATTTTATTACGCCTCCCTACCTCCCCCCAAAAACGTGTGATTAGAACAATGATTCTCTTAACAAAACTTGAAACTGATTCAAACTTATACTTCAAAGCACATTTCAATTTCCCCAAAGACAGGAAATTGGAAAGGAATGAGAGGGAAGATTTAGCAATTCAATAAGTAGGAGTGAGAACCACTTTTCCCACAGTTTCCAGGATAACATGGACTCTGATTCCAGACACATAGAAAATGCTCTAATGTGGTTTATTAGATCAATAAAAAATGAATTAATAAATGTTATGCACAGAGAGAATTTAAAAAAGAACAAGGCTCAACTCCATCAAAACTGTGGGCTCATACCTTTGAACAATCATCGGTGAGCAGTAAGGCAACTCTTTCTTTAATGACGTATTTGTCAATCTCTGTCCAATAAATGCCTTCTAAGTACAGCAAACGGATGCCTGGCACAAACTGTAGTACCTATCAATTATTTATATATTTTCATTTTTGAAAACTCTTAAAATAGCAAATAAATAAAGCCACAGGAATTTCTATAGCTTTCATGGAGTTCTCAGCAGTCTTTAACTTTTAGGCAGAATTCCTCCAATGAGGCTAACCCAACTTCAACTATAAAATGCATTTTACTAAGTGTGCCTTTAAATATTACATTGAAGCTTAGGAGAATCTCTTGACAGAGGAGATCAATGTATCAAATTAAGAAAGTGTTCTGTATTTAACACCACTTGAAATAATCATATACCTTGAAAGCAATTTTGTCTTTTATGACTTGGACCCATGAAACTTAGTCACAGAAAGTAGTAAGATGTGTGCGTTTCTTGTGTTGATTGTAAGGTTCTATTATCACTGAGACATCTCATGTGAGATGTTTCTCAGTTATGCCCAATATAAGAATGATGCAACATGAAGCGTTATCTGTTTCAGACAAGATACTTCATTGAAAGAGGAATTTGATTTTAGATAATTAATTATAAAAATAGTTTAAAAGGGCATGGGGAAGCTGGAAGTTACTTTGAAATGACTGTCAGAAAACATTTAGAGACAACACCAAGAATCATAGGCAGATACTGGAGAAATCACCACTGCCACCATGACCACCGTAGGTCTGCAGGGTGAACTGCTAACAGGATTTTGACTTGACTTGCAATCTGATAAGCTGTCAGCATTCACACCACTGCTGCTACTTCAGGAACCTAAAGATGTAACCAACAATTTCTTCATGATCCACAAACATCTACATTTTCCTTTGCTGATGAAGTTAAGATGGAGGTGCCTTCCCCAAGATGCTCATGTTGGAATTAAATTGTTACCTGAATAAATCTGGTTGGTTGGTCATGGAGAACTCTTCATTTGTATAGACTGAATAGCTTTTTCTTCTTTTGAAATCTCTCGAAATTGCTCTTCTGCTCACTCAAAACCAAGGACAGAAAAATTACAAACCATTTAGAATCTTTTCACTACTTCCAATCACCCCACTCTTATAGAACACTTGCCAGCCAAAGACTGTCTCAGGATCTCCTTCCTCCAATTCCTTCACAGACTGACTCTTCCCTTCAAACACCTTTGAACCCTGCTGAAAAGATGGCCACAGATGGGTCCCCTTAGGCAACTCATGAAGAAATAACCTTCACTAATTTTGTCTTTATCTTTGATGTATATCTAGTAACCCTCCCTTTCCCAACTACAGACTGGGAATTTCCTTCACATACTTCAACTATATAAACACATTATAACATATTTAATGCAGAGGACTTTATGAGAATCCAACGATCCTCTATTAAAACAAATATATGAGATTTTTTAAAATGTGGAAAAATACTACTTTTCTCACCAATTACTCTTGGTTTAGAAAATATATTTTTAGAAAGATACACTATTAAAATTATCATGTATTGTGTTAAATTTTTTAATGAATTGATTGGCATCTTTAAATCTCTAGTTTAATTTATCATTCACTACATATTAAGATACAAGCAATTATGCAAATTTGTTTGTGTCCTCAATAAATATTAAGAGTACAGAAGTGTCCTAAAACACAAAAATTTGAGAACTTTTCTTCTAATCCTTCATTAAGGGTTCTACTTCCTGTAATTTTATGTAACTTTTTAAAATTAAAAATAGTTATAATAAAAAAATTCACCACGATTTAAAATGTTTGAAGTTAGATTCTTGTCTCTATTGTTATCATCAAATGCAATGCGTAATACTCACAGTGTTGTCAAACAGGATTAATACAGGATAGCTACAAGTCAAAAAGTAAAATTGATGACATTTAAAATGTGTAAGAAGATATACTTAATACAATAGAGTATTATTTTATTAATATTTTATATATGTTTAAATTGTGGTGGTAGTGATTATAATTTTTAAAAACTCCAAAGAGCAAAACAATAAAAGCAAAAAAAAAAAAAAAAAAGTTATTTGAATAAAACAGTGCTCTGCTGTGCCTTTTCCCTCACATGGAAGCCATTACCAAAACTTTTATTCACATTTTGGTTTAGTCTCCAATTGTGTCTTCAGCTGTATGCCATGGAAATGCATTTCTTATTTACTTCACTGGAGTACTTTTATAATGGAACAATTAACAACCCACAAATTGTTAATTCCTTGTTAGTATGAAACCATCTGGTGTCAAATTCTCTACACCAGGGTGGGATTTGAAACAGACGTACTCCCCAGAATGTGTTCAGTGTTAATCACCAGTGAAACCTGATGAAAATAATCTTCTGTTTTTAGAAATGCAGCAATTGTTTTAGACAGTTCTTTTTTCTTTTAGTACAATGTTTATTTCACTTGAACCTATACTGGGATTTGATTAAGTTGTTTGTGTCAGGGGCAATGACAACATCCATTTCAGATGCTTTACAAGAGATAGTACAGGAGATGCTCCATATTTATCTACACACATATATGCAGCATAATCTTGTCCCCAGAATAATGTTTTATAGTGCATTTTACATTTATAAAATATCTAAAATGTACTAACTTCCATGTTTTTAGTGTGACTGAAAGTAAAATGTTAGGAAGCATGAATAGAACAAAAAAAAGTAACTTTGATTATGTAAGTACACATACAAGAAATCTTCTGAATCTTGGCCAGCCCTTTAGATACATCAAAATAGACATGTGACATTTGCATCATTTCTTTGTTCTTCACATCTTATTTTCACACCTAAATTTTTGTTCACCGTGGTTATCATGTTGACCCAGTAACATACTCCTTAATGTTTTCTGAACATCCATTGGTCAAGACAGTTTCACCTTTCTCAATGGAAATGGTGAGAGGTTCAGATAATTTGAGAAATCACGACAGGTCGGCACAGAAGGAGTTGTTTTTCCTATTACAGGCAAAATTTCACAAGCTTGCTTAAATTTCTGGAAAAGACAGTGGTTTTAAAAGTCATTCTTAAAAATTCCTATACCTGCAACTCTCTTCAAAAGAGGAATCAAAAAGAAGGAGATATTATTTATAAGGAAACTCAGAAATTTATTGTATTATAAACATTGAACAGCATCTGCTATTTGCAATACAACATAAAAAATGAAATAAAAGGGATTTCAGATAACCCATATTTTTTCTCTAACACATAAAAGTCCAGTGCCCTAGGATTTGAAATGTACTATGTCTGTCTTGTTTGGTGGGGTGTGGGTCTGAGGCAGGGCCAAGCCACTGGGAGACCGGGCAGGGTATTCTACTGTTATCAGAATTAATGAACAAGCCATAATAAACACCATCCAGCCTGCCAAAATGGACATGAAAAACATGCCCCATATCTCGCTTCCTACCTTGGAGGAATGAAGCCTGTAGAAGAGCTATCTTTGTGGCAGCATAACAAATCTTATGGAAGAGAAAAGCAGGTGCTGGGACACAGTGCCAAATGTTTATAACAATTTCACTGCATGGATGTGTCTCTTCTTCCAAGATAAGCCCTCTATTTGTGGTGGTCCAAAGAAATCTGTAAAATATATGTCATCGGGTCCTGTCCCTACATGCCCCCTCCCCTAAGATCATCTCTATGGAGTCTAGCTTTACTATCTTTCTCTTTTCCCAAAAAATGTGGACATCAATTTTCTTATCCCCAAGCATCCTGAAGAATGTAGTTAAGGACAAAGCAGGAGATGGAAATGAAATATGTCTGGAATGCCAACAGGATAACATTTTCTTTTGGGGGGAGGTTCTCTTTGTGTTTGAACAGAAGTACTGCCTCTGACTGTTCATTTGGAAGTTTTACCAGGTGTATTAGCTTTCTGTAGTTGCTATAAAAAATTACCACTAATTTTTGGCTTCTAATAGCACACATTTATTATTTTACACTGCTCTAGGGCACAAGTCAATTGCAGATCTTAGTGGGGTCAAAGCAAGGTGTTAGCATGATTACATTACTTTTTGAAGGCTCTAGGGGAGAATCAGTTGTCTTGAATTCTCTAGCTCCTATAGGTAACTTTGCCTTCAATACTTTCCCTGCGTCAGGGTCTTTTCCAATGAAGGAGGCAGAGGATGAGATAGTTAGATAGCATCAACAACTCAATGGACATGAATATTAGCAAACTCTGGGAGATAGTGAAGGACAGGGAAGCCTGACATGCTGCAGTTCATGGGTCTCAAAGAGTTGAACATGACTTTCAGCGACTTAACAACAACAAAAATAGGTCTTGGATTCCTGGACTCATAGCTCTTTCCCTCCATCTTCAAAGTCAGCAGCATTGCATCTCTGACTACTTTTCCACAGTCAGATCTCATTCTCACCACAGCTAAGAGCCCCATGTGATTAGACTAGCCCCACCCACCTAGTTCAGGATGATCTCAAAGATCTTAACAGTCAAATCTTCAAAATCCTTTAGCCAAGTAGCATTAACAGTTCTGGGGATCAGGACTTGAGAGTCTTGGAGGGCGGTTATTCTGCTCACAATTCCAGAGGAAAATTCTCTTGTTTCTGCCCCTGAAAACAAGCTTTATTTTGCTTTTTTCCACAGAATATGTGCATTTTCAGATTTACTTATAAAATTTTCTGTTTAGCCTTCCTTGGCAAGTGTTTGCTCTTTCTAGTCACATGATGGTTTCTAGTCACATGATGGCTGATCCATCTTCAACTTCAAGTGGAAAGAAGGGAGAGGTAAAGGGCTTAGGAGATAAAGGTATATGCTAATACCCAAAGGTATCTTTCTCCCTTTTAAGACTATCATGGAAACTGTCCTTAGCAAAATTAGACAATAAAATTATGAATGGTTGATTTTAAATATCTCCTTTTATAGCTCAGTCAAGCTTTCAAGTTTTACTTTCCTTCATAAAGCATTAGCTGCTCAATTGTGTCCAACTCTTCACAACCCCATGGATTGTAGCCCACCAGGATCATCTGTTCATGGAATTCTCCAGGCAAAAGTTGTGGAATGGGTAGCCTCTCTTCAACAGGGGATCTTCCCAACCCAGAGATTGAACCCAGGTCTCCTGCATTGCAGGCAGATTCTTTACCATCTGAGCCATTCCTTTTTGAAACTCTTCAATCTCTATTTTATTTCTCTTCAGAGGATGCTTCTCTATCAAAATTACTGTTTGTGTATTTAATCATTGTCTTTCCCATCCAGGTTCCAAAATTTACTTATTCCAGTTACATATGAAAACAGCAACCCTTTTATACCCCATATTTGTGATGATTGTACATTTCCTTTCTTAGGAAGTAAAAAGAAAAAATAAAAGTAAACAAATGTAAACAGTAAAAGATGTTAAATTTTTAAAGGAAAATTTCATTTTATTGTAAAAAAGTACTAAGATAACTTGATCTCCAATTTCATAGAATAACTTTCTCTTTAAAAATGCTTGAGTTTACTCTTTACATTAATACCATAGAAGAAAGGAATGTCTGACTACTAAAATATAGAAAATACTTCAAATAAAAACATGACTGAAGTATGATTGCATCTCCATGTTCAATTGTATCTAAAAGAGACAATGTCATAAAAAACCAAGTCATAATGTCATAAAAGGGAATAATTCCCATACTTTGAAGCATACGTCTAGTTAGAGAAAACAGGGAAAACTTGTATTTAACATTGTGAGTTCACATTATATTTTACCTGTGATAGGGAGAAAGAAAGTATCTCTGAAACAAAAGGATAACACAAATTTTCATAATACCTGTAAGTTGTGTGATATTTTATTTAAAATGTAATAATGGGTAATTAACAAGCTATGACTGGTATCTCACTTCCTCATTGTCTTGAAATTTATTATATATATGATATATATATATATATATATTTTGCTGGTTTGTAGGGAACAAAAATATGGCTTGGGACTTTGTTGATGTTCATATCATCTGCAAAACATAGCTTATAGGAGAGCATGAAGGTAAGAACTTCTGACCAAAGACACAGGCTTTTTGAGAAAATAAATTCCTTTTAAAAAGTGCTAATGAAGGTTAGATCATATTTGGCATACTCTTACAATTGGACAGAATGTGCCTTGGGCTTAATGGAACTACAGTATACAAGTTTCATAAAATTTATAAATTTTGTAAAATGTACATATCCTAGAATACAATGTTCCAGGGTGTTCATTTTCTTACTACCTCTCCTCCTGCAAATCTAAGACATTCCAAGTACTGAGTACAGTATATAAAATCAACCCAAGACCACACAGTTATAGTATCTATGAGAATTATCAAAAATTTCCCATATAAATGCAGCAAAAAAAAAAATGCATCCACTTACAAGAGTTTTGGTAAAAGACTAAGCCCACAAAAAACTGTGCCTCTTCAAAGATAAGTAAACTGAAAATAACACACAGCAAAAGTGAATCTTACATAATTCTTTTTCAAGTACAGAAAAAAATGGGAAATGGGAAATGTCAGACACTATAGAGATGAATAACATGTTGGATATATTGCAACAGAAATAAAATGAAATCGCAGGCTAAAACAGCATCCTCTCAGGAATTCTCAAAAAAAAGAAAACCACTTTCAGACAAAAAGTGATAAAGCAATAAAATGCAATGAAAAGAGAATTTATGAAAAAAATTAAGATGGATACACTATTTAACAATTTGAAAATATGATCAGGAACAGAAAAGAGCAGAATTAAAACACCAAAACAAATCACATTGAGAGCATGTCTGAGAAAAATCTTTCAAATGTTTGAGATAAATTGCAAATTAATTAAAGTCATAAAGACAAAATCATAATTTGGGAGCATAATCAATGGAAAACATAGTAATGGTTGGTTTCCCTGACCAAGAGAATTAACAAAAACAACAAATCAAAATTTTAAGAAACTTTTTCTAGTTTTAATGAAGCCATGAGTTTTAAAATAGTTCCGAGAAAAGCAAAGAGAAGACTATGTAGATAGATGATAGAGAGATTGGTAGATAGATATATATAAGTAGTCAATAAATAGATACCAAACTTAGACTTTAGAAAGAATCTTTAAAATTCATAGATCATTTCAGAAGAATCTGGTCCCCTATAAAACAAAATGTAAACTCATGCCTTTCTTCAACCTTGTAAGGGAGGTATTAAATGCAGATGTCAAAGGAGCAGGGCCTGAAGATTTCTGAGGCAGGAAAGACTGAGATTAATTAATTGTATATTAAGGCAAGTTATTATTCATGAATAAAGAAAACAGGCACAAAAATTTAGGAATGCCTTTGATTCCCAAAAGGTCAATTGGAAAAATTAAACTAGTCAATGAATCGGTATATATCTATGGGAAATATGCAACATAAAATATAAAAAAAAAAGTTTAACAAATACATTTTACATTGTTTATGATAAGATTATCTCTTAAGAGAAAAAAGAACTCATTTTAGGAGACCAAATATGTTTAGCTACACAGCCCACAACAAAGACTAAAGGACTTTAAAACTTAAAATTAAGAAAGTCATCAACGGATTTAGGCAAATAAAAACCTTAAAAATCTGACATCATAATATTTATATCAGAAATTTCAAATAAAGTTAAAATAAAAAGTATATGTGAGCTTTTTTTAAAAGATCACAGGAGCAAGCTAAAGTGAAGTTGTGAGTATTAATGGAACAATACAGAGATATATAGATGCATGTAAAAATGTCTGAAACATATAGAGTTACATAGGAATATAATATGATGTTCAACATACATAAACAAGCTCTGTCCTTTATATATCACAGTGAGTCATCATAACAAGTATACAGAAATCTGAAAAAGTATACTTACAATTTTTATGAGTGTTTTAACTATATTTACCCTACAAATATCAAATGCATCATCTTCTTTTTGCCTGCTATGGGACATTTTCATAACTCTCCCCCATAGATTTCTGCTCATACTTCTACAAATATAATTATTGGGATCTTTATCTTATCTTAGAATGTTAAAGTTTTATTATTTAAATTTCACTATATTTTTTTTCTCCTTGAATTCCATTTTCTCTCAGTTCATAATTTATCCATATAGTTATACTAAGGAAATGCAGATCTAGAGCTGACAGCCTTGGAGAAGGCTGAGTCCAGAGTTATAAAAGATGCCAAGAGATTTCTTCCTCATCTGTTCCAATAGTACATCTCCAATTATAATAGTACCCAATTGATGTACCTTCACTTCTAAATTATTATGTTACCTTGTACACAGTAGTATTCAGAAAACATTTGTTGAATGAATTAACAAACCAATATGTGTGGGGGCATTTTGTCTTCCTGTTCAACACCATGCATTTTCCTTATGAACTTTCATTTTCTGAGTAGCATAGTCTCCAGATTTATAGCCAAAGACTGCGGTGGTTGGAGAGAAAGGCCTGGGATCTGTGTGCTCCAATGCTGGAGTCAGTGCTCACTGAGTCAGTTCAGTTCAGTCGCTCAGTCGCATCCGACTCTTTGTGACGCCATGGACTGCAGCACGCCAGGCTTCCCTGTCCATCACCAACTCCTGGAGTTTACTCAAACTCATGTCCATTAGGTCTGTGATGCCGTCCAACCATCTCATCCTCTGTTGTCCCCTTCTACTCCTGCCCCCAATCCCTCCCAGCATTAGGGTCTTTTTAAATGAGTCAGCTCTTTGCATCAGGTGGCTGAAGTATTGGGGTTTCAGTTTCAACATTAGTCCTTCCAATGAATAGTCAGGACTGATTTCCTTTAGGATGAACTGGTTGGATGTCCTTACAGTCCAAGGGACTCTCAAGAGTCTTCTCCAACACCACAGTTCAAAACCATCAATTCTTTGGCACTCAGCTTTCTTTATAGTCCAACTCTTACATCCATACATGACTACTGGAAGAACCATAGCTTTAACTAAATGGACCTTTGTTGGAAAAGGAATGTCTCTGCTTTTTAATATGCTGTCTAGGTTGGTCATAACTTTCCTTCCAAGGAGTGAGTGTCTTTTAATTTCATGGCTACACTGAACATCTGCAGTGTTTTTGGAGCCCCCCACAATAAAGTCATCTACCCTTTCCACTGTTTCCCCATCTATTTGCCATGAAGTGACGGGACCAGATGTCATGATCTTAGTTTTCTGAATATTGAGCTTTAAGCCAACTTTTTCACTCTCCTCTTTCACTTTCATCAAGAGGTTCTTTAGTTCTTTGCTTTCTGCCTTAAGGGTGGTATCATCTGCATATCTGAGGCTATTGATATTTCTCCTGGCAGTCTTGATTCCAGCTTGAAAATTACTGAACATTAAAAAAAAATTGAGATAGTCATTTTCAGTTTAAACTATGAGTCCGATTCCTCTCCAAGAGGAATTTGTCAATGTTGCTTCAGTTTGAATTATCTGACTCCCGACTTTCAAATGACTTCCAAATGACAGGGGAAAGGTAACTGAGAAGTTCAGAGTATCTACAGCTCATATATTTTTTTGTTCTTTCCTAAGATTCTTCTCCAGTTAAATCTCTGTTTGCTTGTCTGGAGTCACCAACTGAATAAGTCACTTTGTCCATTTGGGAGACACTAATGCAAACTGGTTAGTTGAACAATGACCAATTGCACAGGACATCCACATCGACAGAGTGGTTGTTTTATAACCTTGGTTCTCAAAGGTTCAATTTTGAAAATTTAATCACAGTCCACAGAACTGCTAGTTCACATGAATCTCCAGTTCCAGGGTAGCTAAGTTTGTCTAGAGAGAGTAAAGATTGAACTCTCTCCAAAATCTGTGATAGTTGATTTGGGGTGAGCTCTATCTGCTAAACTTATTAAATGACTGTAAGACTTTAAACTATGGAGGCTTGTTGCAACTAATTTTCATAACTTGTTCAGCAATTTCACTATTCATCAACGTTGCTGTTTTCTCTCAGCAATAGGAGAGACCAAAAAATTTAACCTTTTGATGAGATAATATATGTTCTTTCAGTACAGGGGTTGGCAAACTTTTTTTGTAAAGGGTTTCATTGTCAATATTTTAGACTGTGAGCCTTACAGTCTCTTGGGAAACATCTCAAACTGTGCTAGAATGCAGGAGCATCCAGAGACAATAAGTAACTGGTTGGAAATGGCTGTGTCCCAATACAGTTTTAATTGCCAACATTAAACTTTGAATTTCAAATAATTTTCATGTATTACAAAATATTCTTTTTTTGAATTTTTTTTCAACCATATGACAAGTGTAAATGACCATATACAAATGGGCAAAGGGTGAGATTTGGCCAACAGGGTATAGTTTTCCGACCTTTACTGTAGTATATGAATTCCAAAATGTATTTTAGAAAATATTCAGTCAAAAGTTCAATCTTTTTTTTTTTTTTCCTCCTCTGGCCATAAGCAAGGAGCACTGATGGAACAAGTGGGAACTGGCCACTCTGCTCTGTCAAACCCATGCTAAAAATCCACAAAACTCCTTGGCTCACACTTTAAAAATCTGTTCCAGTTCTAATTCGGGTCCCTGACAACTTGGAAGTGATTTGCCTTCGCTCTTTATCCCTCCTGTCAAGGCAATGGCTCTCTGCATGCTTTCTTAGCCACATTTGGAGAATCTGCTAGTGTTCACTTATTCCTCATCCCATACAGGGGATAATTAACTAAGACTCAGAAGAGCAAATAAGTTTGGCAGTGCCCTTCTTGGAACCACTGTGGAATGGGAGGTCTGCTTTTATTTAAGCCAGATATATATGTATCTTTAAGCAAATACATTGACCAAGTTTAAAAGTAAAAAAGATCCTAGTAACAAGTAAGTGAACTATCCACCTACACTGAAGTCCTGATTATTATATCATTTTTGTATTATTATATTGCACTCTTACCTGGTATTTACTTCTATTTTTTTAATGGTAATGCTTACCTTGCTATTTTATTTAACATTGCTAAGCATAATCTCTTGACTTGTTTTTATGGTTTAATCAGTTCAAGTACAATACTGTCCCCTGCTTCTGCCTAATATAGTTATATCACAGTTTTTGGCCAAGTTGATTTTCAGCATTTACAATATTATGACCAAATAGATATTTACTCTGAGTCAAGTGATTCACTGTGTTTACATTTACATTTGCTCAGTTCTACTTTTTCATTTTTCTGAGAATCAATTAGGTCTTATTTATATGTTCATTTCTCTATGTACCTATTGCTAGTTCTTCACGTTGTCCAGCAGTCTAAAACAGTTTCTCAGTACAGAACTCCAAAGAAACCTCCCCTACCCCTTAGTCTGTTCACTACATACACCTTTCTCCCTTCCTTGTGAGCTGTTGTCTTGCTCAAATCTGGACCAGCTATGCATGCAAGGATGCTCCAATTCTCTTGACTCTCATTCTGATGAGTCTCCTTATGATTTTGTTTATCAAATGGTCTGTTTTCAGAACCTTAAATTTTCTTTTTCTGTGATTTAAGCATTGATTTTTGTTGTTTTCACCTAAAAGAGAGGTCACAGGAGTGAAATTTTGGGTGACTTGCTTATCTAAAATTTGCTTTATCCCACTCTCAAAATTGATAACTTATTTAAATGCATAACTCAGAATTGAAATCAATTGCCCCTCTTAATTTTAAGATTTTTTTTTTCATTTTCTTCTAGCTCTCACTGTTGCTGTTAGGATACTTATGTTAAAAAAATTTTGTGATCGCCCCTCCTGCCTTTTTTCCCTAATTTTAAAGCTTTCTCTCACTCTTTTTCTCTCTGTCACTCCATCTTTCAATTTAACAATTACATGCCTTGATGAAGGTTTTTTTTTTTAATATACATTATGCTGAGCACATATGCATAGAGAAATTCATGCAAGTTTATGCTGAGGATAATTGTTACAATATTTCTATGATATCTTTTCCTTTAGTTTTTCTTTTTCTTCTTAATGCAATTTCAAAAAATGCATGCTTGAATTCCTATATTGATTCTCAATATCCTTATATTTTCTCTGACTATTCTATGCTTTGCTTGTCTTTAATTTGGAAGAGAATTTCATTATCTTTATCTTTCTACCTTTCTACCTTGTATTAAAGTTTTGATTTTTAAAATTTATATTTCTTTTAATTCCTGAGAGCTCCTTTAACTTTCTGACTTTTCCTTTTTATAGCATCTTATATTTGATTCTCTTCTCATATTATTACTTTTAAAATAAATTCCCATCTCTTTTATGCAATTTGCCTGCTTCATGAGTTCCTTTGTTTCTGTTCATTTTATTTGTAGCCTTTTATTGTGGTTTCTGTTCTCAGAGGTCTAATGATCCTGGAAATCTCATGCACATTCAGCAGTGAAACAGGACAAAGCTAATGGAAACATCTATTTAACTAGAGAAAAATCATCTTTAAATAGAAGTTTCTTTCTTAAAAGGTTCTTATACCAAAAGCTGGCAGTGATGAATGTTAGAATATGGAATAAATGAGAAAATTTTAATTAAATGTAAAATCTTAGAGCCTGGGTAATAGACTATATTATAGCTATAATTATACCTGCTTGTTTGTTACTATGTATAAAATGGGTATTTCAGATTTTATTTACAGAATCCATTTTTTTCTTCATCTCACACTTGGTTTAATTGCCTCAAATCCCACATACACCTGTAATTGTGCTATTTTTTGAACACTGTAAAAATGAAAAGTGGTGGATTTTTATATCTACATTAATAATGATTTACTTCAAAAAATGCCTTGAAGTTGAGCTGATCTCCAATAATTTGAAAGAACATTTTTATTATTATATATTGTTAATGTTTGTTTTTGTAAATATTTGCTAGCTTTTTATTCTTGCTTTTTAAGTAAATGTGGTATTTTCTTATGTACTTTTAACTTTAATAAAACTGTTAGGCAAATAAAGAATAATAATAAAGTTTATTATGTCCTTGGCATATTTTTGGGCTCCTTGTGGGAATACATTTAATTTCACTTAATGCAAGGGTCATGTGCTGTTTTTATTATTACCTGCATTATATAGGTAGGCAATCTGAAAAAAAGAGAGAGAGAGAATAAAAATAATAGGCCTAAACTTTAAGTGAATAAGTAAGGAGCAGAACTTGAATTTAAACTTGGGCTATTGGGATGACTACATTTTCACCACTAAAGTGTACTAAGGTGTACACTGAAGAAAAAACAGCCATAGGCTATTGATTTACATGAAAGGGTAAAAAAAAAATCATCATAAATAAAATTTTGAATTTTAAATTTATTTTCCATATTTTGCCATTTAAATAATACCCACAGAATACTCGATGATTTACACATTTCCCATTTATTCCTAAAACCAACATCCTTCAACTTGCCTAGAAGAAGTTTGCACACCATGATGTCCTGTTTTTTTTTTACAGGAATCAGTTTTTACAGGAAAACACCAATGTCTTAGTGGACTTCAGGTTTACTCTTGTTGAGTGCAAGTACATAGATGTGGCACGCTCAGTTGCTCA